AGACTAAGGAAATGGTAAAATCATTTTCAAAAGTAACACAAAAGTTTCTTTCTAAAAATAAGAAGACGAGAGTGGAAAGCGCGTGATCAGTCGAGCCAAGTAAGTAGTTCCCCAATGTGTTATCCATGTTATACTGATAATTGAGCCTTATTGATTATATGGGACTTTCCGTGTTTATGTTTTTACAATTGTATCCGGTTAGGAGCTTATAGTCTCAGAATGATTGATTTGGCCTTATTTCCTGTTCCTTGTTTGGTTGTGGTTCTAGGGTAGAGTCTCTTATTCGAAAGCCTATTTGATCCTTCTATGTGTACAATTTGCATGCATAAGAGCAACCGGTTATGATTGGTCAAATTGATATGAATGGGGCAAGTAATAGGTCAGCCTGAGATTAGTATCCGGTGTAGTTGTGAAATATGGTTTGGTTGCGGAATGAATTGGAGTTATCAGGTAGAGCAGTGCGGAAAGGTACATGTAGGTGTTGAACAGTAGAAGGTAGTATTGGGCCCGTACTACTGGAAGCACAGGACCTATACCCGAACCAATGTTAGATCTGACGACTTCAAGGAGGACGACATGGCAAGATCCCTTATATAGTAATCCTGATCACTGAAATTTATTATTTTTTTCAGTTTAGCATGGTGGTGACACCATTTGAAGCTGGGGGTGAGGATCGGGATTTGGATCCGGTGCGAGATTAGGAGATACTGCTGATAACATTGATGATAGGATGTGCGAGCTCATTGCAGCCGAGGTTACCAGGGGCATCCTTGATGCGACCCCAATCATATTTGGTACATTCAAGGAGGGCATTATGGAGATTATGGGGAAAAGACTTAGATTGTTTAGGGCTGAGTTGGCAGCGGGTCAGGTGGGGACCCAAACTCCCTCGTTCTGGGAGTTTAAGGCATGTGGGGCACCGGAGTTCTCCGGGGTCACGGACCCCATTTTCAGTCGACGTTGGGTAGCGGACATCGAGAACTCCCAACGCACGAGTTCTTTTCCGGATGCAGCGAATGTTGGGTTTGCTTCATGTTTGTTGAGAGATAGGGCTCACGATTGGTGGGGCGAGGTTACTAGCTAGGTGAGGCCAGCTGGAGTGGCCGATATGACATGGGCCGAGTTTGTTCGGCGGTTTGATTCGGAGTTTGCACCACCTATTGAGGTGTAATGCCTAGTGAGGGAGCTTCATGAGTTGCAACATACCACCGAGACCGTGGCACAGATCACCACCAAGTTTCAAGAGCGAGCTTTGTTAATCCCACAGTATGCTACCGACGAGGAGATGAGGAGGACCCGATATCATTCCATGTTGAGGGATGATATTAGGGAGTTTGTGAGTTTTACGAGGTGCTAAACCCTGAATGAGATGGTGGAGAAAGCCCGTTAGAGGGAGATGGAGTTGGAAACCCGCACGAAGCGGAAGACTGAGCAGGTGCAGGCAGTAGGGGGTCAGGCTAAGAAGCCTAAGACCTCTGATTCTTCGGGTAAGGTCCAGCAGGGCTTGGGTCAGTATGCCAAGTGCGAGAGGTTTCATAGTCGGGCGTGCCGGATAGTTGGGGTATCGGGATGCTACTCTTGTGGTCAGCAGGGCCACGTGAGCAGGGAGTACCCCAAGAAGGGCCTGATATGTTTCGACTACAACCAGACTGGCCACAAGAAGGTCGACTATCCTAGGTTGCAGGGAGGGGGAGGAGCAGTGGCGGCACCTGCGCCCGCCACACTGAGGATCACTAATGGCCGCCCTGCTAAGGTTGAAGCCCCATCGGTGAAGAGCCATGCATTTCAGCTGACTACCGAGGAGGCTCAGGCTGGGCAAGACGTTGTGGCTGGTATGTGTTCACTATCCTCTAATTTTATTTATTTTGTATGACTTATGTGTAATTACATTTGTATAGGGACCTTTTTGGTCAATGGCATGACCGCTCATGTCTTGTTTGATTCGGGTGCTACCCGGTCGTTTGTGTCTCTTGCCCTTAGCAAGAAGTTTGGGGATGCATCGACGTCCTTGGATTCCCGCTCGAGGTGGAGATTGTTGATGACCGCACAGTTAGTGCGGCGAGGGTATATCGGGGTTGTGTTTTGAATGTGTTGGGTGAGAGGTTTTGTGTAGATCTGGTTCTGATACTGTTACGAGGACTGAAGGTGATTATCAAAATGGATTGGTTGGGGGCCAACGGGGTCATGATTGATTGCGAGCGCCAACTGGTCAGGGTTCGAACTCCAAGTGGGGGAGAGATGGTTAGTCATGGCGAGAAGGTCTCGTAGGGATCGACCCTCTGTTCGGTTGCGAGGGCAAGGAGGTTCCTATAGCAGGGTTGCTCAAGATTTCTGGCTTATGTTTCGGATACGAGAACGCAGACTATGTCGGATGTGGATAATGTACCAGCTGTACGGGATTATCGGGACGTTTTTTCCGAAGAGTTACTGGGACTGCCTCCGGAGAGGTAGGTGCAGTTTCGCATTGATTTAGTGCCAGTTGCGGCTTTGATAGTCAGCGCACCGTATCGGTTGGCACTACCTGAGATGCAGGAGCTATCCACGCAGCTCCAGGAACTACTAGACCAAGGGTTTATCCGTCCGAGCAGCTCTCCATGGGGAGCACTGATCCTTTTCGTGAAAAAGAAGGATGGATCGCACAGGATGTGAATTGATTTTAAGGAATTGAACAAACTGATGGTGAAGGACCGTTATCCCTTGCCAAGGATCGATGACTTATTCAACCAGCTTCAGGGTGCGTCTTGGTTCTCCAAGATTGATCTTCGGTCCAGCTTCAGGTACTATCATCCCTTGCAAGGGATCGATGGCCAAGGAAGGCCCACGACATGGTGGTGCTCTGCATCTCGACTGTTTTGTCCTGAATTAGCCACGGCGTGTCCAAGAGTTCTCTACAGTATAATGGCCATTGACTTAGTTGACCATTGACTTTTGTTGACCGCTGATTATTGACATTTTAACAAGTTTGACTTTTAGTCAAACTATCATAGAATTGAGTGTTTAGCTAACGACTAGTTCCAATTTGGTTTTAGGTAGCATGTGACTGGTGTTATGTTGCTGAGTTTTGGTGTTGAGCCTCTATTGGTTAGCTCAGGTGAGTTTTCCCACTATACTTGGTACTAGAATATGTATCCTTATGTGTAGTATATTGGTATGTTTTACTCATCTGTTCGACTGGTAAATCTGTTACGATTATATGTTTTTGTTGGTTATTGTTACTTATTTGCATATGTCGATATATTATGGTTGGGTCGAGGTTGTACTACTTTGTGATGTAGGCCAAGATGCACAGGCGGTGCACATGTATAGTGGGAGTTGAGAGATGGTTCAGTTAGATTGTAGGCCCAAGGGAGCAGTCTAACAATATTATAGGGCCCAAGGGGGTCCAATTAGACAATAGGCTCAGGGGAGCGGTCAAGGTGTACTATAGGCCTTACAAGGTGGTCCAGTCAGATGGAAGGCTTATGTGTGCATGCATTGTATGTGTGTTGTTGTGTGGAGTATATTGGGAACTCACTAAGCTTTGTCCTACAATTGTGGACTAAATATTTTCAGGTACTAATCAAATCGCAAAGATAGGAGTGTACACATACTTCGGCAGTTTTTATGATTCAAGATTCAACATTGTTTTTTCTTATAACTATGATTTTAAATTACAGCTTATGACAAAATGGTTTTTACATTGATTATATATTTATAAAAATGGGTGTTTATTCTATTCTGAAAATGAAAATTTTATTTTGGAATTTGGGATGTTACAATTAGGGTTTAAAAGTTAGGTAGTTTGTTGTTAATATTGATTAAATTCATAATAAACAAAAGTACATTGCCATTATGATTTAAAAGTTAAGTAGTAAGTTGTTATCATGGATTAAATTGATAATAAACCAAAGTATATTTTAATAGATAAATAGTATGTTGTTATTATGGATAAAGTTGATTATAAACAAAAGTAAAGTGTTCTTATTGTTTAAAAGTAGGTAGTTGGTTGTTAAATTGATTAAATTGGTAATAAACAAAAATACATAGCTATTATGGTTTAAAAGTTAAGTATGTTGTTACTGTGGATTAAAATGATAATAAACAAAAGAACATTGCTATTACGGTTTAGAAGTTAAGCATATTTTTATAATTATAAACTAAAATACATTGTTATAATAAAATAAAGTACATTGCTATTATCATTTAAGTATTGAATTATGTTACCATTTTTTATTCGGTTGTAAGGTTCCATGAAGAACTTTCTACCATCCGAAAATGACAAGCTCAAATTCAAGAACAAATGAAGATGTTTTTTAGGCAGCTAGTGGAATATGTCCAGTAATCAACCAATCAACCTTGTACTCCACCCGATGACAATGAATAGGTATTTTGGAACAATGGAATGTGTAAACACTTAGGGTTGTTTTCTTTTGTGTTAATCTTAGTTGGTATGAAACAATTGTGTAAAACTTCGTTTCGAGACATTGTTTGTGTATTTTAACACTTTAATTGTAATGTCTAATTAGTTTTGTATTTGAATATGCTTATTATAAACTTTTCTGATTGGCTTTTCATGCCTATTGTCAAAAAAAGTAGAAATTTTTTATATTTTGCAAAAAACAAAATTTCTAACCGATTATTAACGGAAAATTTGTTGGTATACAAGTCAAACTCGGTCAAATAGCCCCTCTTGATAAGGTGTTGTTAATCAGTCGGTAATGCATGCATAGATATTCCTTCGTAAACCTGTCGGTATAATCTACCCACGACCTAAAACTTGGCGGCTATTGGCTATAACCGATGGATTTCGCTGTCGGTATTTCATGTTTTTCTAGTAGTGTCATCATGGACCAAAACAAATTTAATGATAAAATGCAAACAACTCAACGACAACCAAAGTATAACGTATGCATTACAAATGAATAATATACACAATCCCGCAAGTGCCTATATATGTACACTTAACAATACCGTTACTCGAACAAATATATATATATATATATATATATATATATATATATATATATATATCATGACTATATACATCAATAACCAATTAAGATGGGCTTCAAGTCGATGATTATGCCTTTGGTATCTTCCTCAACGCGTTGAGGTAGTCGGTTAAAGCAGATGTTGAGGTAAGAGAAGCCTTGAGAATTAATAGTGCCTGCATAATCAAGAAAAGGGTATCATGATACAATATAAACTCGAATATTGTCTCTTGTTCAATCTTAATTCCTTCTCTCTTAGCTTATGTATATTATTATTTGGTTAATGCAAAGTCCATGGAGCCAGATTGTCCTTATTTAATATTCATGTTTTGGAAAGCCAACTTACCTCTTGTTCACCTACAGTCACTTCCAGAACCTCAATATCACAAACGGGAACACCAAGTGTGTTGAACTTTGTAATTGTAGCTACAGATGGAGAGACTGTTACTTCCAGATCATCAGAAACTATGAATGTTGCTTGCTCTTTAAGGAAACGACCTGGGCGTGTATCTACTTCATAAATCGGCAGAAAGTTAGTCACACGAAGATAATTTGCTGCAAGCTTTGGGCGAAGTAACATGGTCTTTACATCCTCTGATTTCAAGTATTTTCCATCTCCTAAAGATGAAATACTATTGTACAAATTACTTATACCCACTGAAGATGAATTATCCTTTGTTAAATGTTCATAAGCACCCAACGGAATGGTTAAGAAGCTGAAGAGCAATTCCACGAAATGATTCTCCACTTGTGCACATAATACCTTCTTCGTTGATTTTTGTACTAGTAATTTCATTTTCTGAGTTTGAGTTTGAGTCTTAGGCGTCTGAGTCGTCTGAGTCTGAGTCCGAGTCTCGCTAGAGTCAATGGAAGTCAAAGCCGAATCACTCGCTGAGTTTGTGTCACACGATGAACATGGGCAGGGTTTACTTCCCCCAAGCACCAGATTTGTCAGAGGATTATTTGTTAACAATGACCACTTAAGTAGATTCGAGAACTGAAATAATAATTTGAATAGAATATATTAAAACGAATAATTTCTTTAAATTATAGTATATAACTAATTAACGCTAATTATCACCACATAACCTTACCTCTTCCAATCCAAAAGGCATGATTATCTCTTCTAGCAAATCAATGTATTCAACACCAAGTGAACAAAGGAGTACGATGCTTGTATCCAGCATCACAGGAACTACATTGAGATCGTCAGTTATGATGAAAGAAGCTTTCTTTTTCAAAAACACTACATCATCTACATTTACTTTAAGCTGATCTTGAGGCACAATAGAAGAGATAATGGGCTTTGTTTCATCTAGATTTACTTTAAGCTTCTGGCAAAAAGATGCTGATGAATTGCTTGGATTAATCAATGCATCCTTACAATGCTCGTTGGAGAAATGTTTTTCATTGAGATTTATGATACTTTCATACAGTGAGGTTAGGCTTCCGACTTTTATAGCATTCGAGTCTACATGCTTTCTTGAGAGTTTTGCGATTGTTCCCAGAGGCAAAGTGAAAAAACTGAAGAGGATTTCCACAAAGTCTTCATCAGCTTCGGCGAACATCACTTTTTTCTTCTTTTTGTCAACAAATACTTTAAGTTGAACTTTTTTTTCATCGTTTCCCATTGTCTCTGATCTAGTTAATAATATCCCTGGAAACCGGCAGTCTATACGTACACAAACTGATTGATTATAGGCATGTATATACATAAATTTATGAAGAATTAATAATTAATTACTATTCAAGATATCTCATAATAAAGCTATCTAGATTCTAGTGATAGATTATATACGTAATCAACACATATATATTATAATTATGAAACAAGGTTAGGTGTCTTTCTATATATGTTCTACACATGAGCATATATATATATATATATATATATATATATATATATATATATATATATATATATATATATATATAACCTTTATAATAAAAGAATGAAGATGATTGAGTACATCCAAGTTAAGATATTCTTAATATTGATAACAGTTTTTTATGTGTTTGTTTGATCAATTAATAAATTTAGCAATAAGCGTGTCTTTAAAATGATGATGCTTACACTAACTATCTTTACTTTATGATATACGTACAAAAACATGTTATAAAAGAAAGCATATTGATAGAATATGAGAAAGAAAGGGGATTAATACACCTTGAAGTTTGCAGAATCCTCAATTAGCAGCTATAGCTATATGACAACCCTTTTCCTCTATTAACAATTGAGACAGATATAAAAAGATTGGGTGTTCTTCATTGGGTTTAAATAGATTCCCAAAAGGTAGAATAACTTCAAGATTATAGGAATGAGTACTAATACCGAAACCCATGATTTCCATCTTGATTTACTCACACTTCATCTCATATTCTCATCTTCAATCGCCATGAAAGCCAAAATTACAACTTCTCTTTCCTCTTAGACAAATTAAGCATATACGAAATTTTGATTAGTAGAACATCCAACAAGATTCTTTGGCACTTGGCAGGGTCTACTTTAGGTCTTCTCTCAGAGAAAGCATATTCTTATTCCGGGGTCTCCTGAAAACTAAATCATTAATATGACAAGTATCAAGTCTTCTTTATAATTAAGAAATAAATTGTCTTCCTAGATTCCTTGATACAACTTCAAATGATGATATAGCCTATTCTTTAAATCTTTCTTAGATATCCCTCGTACTAATATTTCACCGATTTTAGTTCCGAGAAATGATGAAACAAATCATTTTGGAATATTAACTTAAAGTAACCATGACCTAAATTTAAAGAAAACAACTCCAATTTTATTTTACAAAGTAACCAACAAGTCCGAAACTGGGCATTTTTTTCTGATAAACAAGTACATTTTGGATTAATATTCTAGATTTCATACAGAAATTTCGGAGTTCGAAAAAAACTCCGGAATTTAAAGAATAAATTTGAAATACGATGAACAATTCTGTAATTTCAAGAAAAAACTTTGTTTGTTATTAAAATCTAACAAAAAGTTAAACAAACATAGTAAATAGAAAATATATACGATACAATTACTTAAAATCAGACATTTAATTGAAAAAACGGTAATATTAAACACTTCGAAATTACTATTGTATACATAAGTATAGATATTTCCTTAGAAAAAGAAATTGTGTAGATAAAAAGAATAACTCACAAATTTCAAGAAAAATCCAAAATGCATTTGGAGAAAAGTTTCCAACTTGTTATTTTTCAAAAACTAAAGAAATATATATATATATATATATATATATATATATATATATATATATATATATATGTTATTTATAAATGTTAGTTTTGTTGGAAATTATAGCGGCAATCTTGCATGTGGCAAGTTTCCTCTATTTCGTATTGGTGGGGATGATATGGCAACAGAATATTCTGTCATTTCGTAAATATAACAGCAGAATATTCTATCATTCCGTAGATATGACAACAAAATATTCTGATACTTAGTAGATATGACAACATAATATTCTACCACTTCGTAGATATGAATACAAAATATTTTGAAAGGGTTAGAAAACGGCTAACTTGGAGAGTAAGTCGTAGCCCTAGGGTTTCCAAGAGCCGACCCATTTCCTGTATTCTAGGGTTTCAATGCCTATAAATACAGCTCCCTAGGAGCTGTGTTAGAGATTTACGAAATTTGAAGCTTCATTTCCATTTTCTATAATTTTCTTCCAGTTTCCGAGTATTCACTTTACGTTTATCGTTTTCCAGTACTTTTGGAAAATCGATAGATCTACATTAAATCATGGGGTTCTACTTTGTTACTTACAGCCAATAGAAGCAAAATAAAAACGTTTAAGGACGGGAGTCCGATCCATACAATTATTCCAAAATCAAAATCAACCATCAACAGGTCGGTTTTACAATATTATTGTATTGTTTTTAATTTTTTCCGACAACAGGACACTATCATTTTACATTTCTTATAATCTGATCTAATCAAGAAGGATTAATCTGGTTTCTAAACGAAACTCAGTAAACATATTAATTATAATTGGATCTATTAATCGCAATTAACATATATTCAATATTATTTGTCGGTTTCGTTGCGTGTCTATTGGTTTGATTTACAACAAATTTAGCAAATATTACAGTCATTTCCAAGTGGTGGCTACTATAATGAATTTTTTTGTAAGACTTCTAGGAATTAAGGTGGAAGATGATTGATGTGGAAAATACAAAACCTGAAAATAAACGAAGCATTTATAAGTTTAGTTGGTTTTTCCAAAATTTCAACAATTGAAAAAAAGATGTGATGCAAGACCATCACCATTTACACAATTCACCAGCCATAGCAACGAGGGATGAGCACCGGAATACGGTATTTGCTTTTGGAAGTGGAACTGTCGTGGAATCGTCTTAGGCGTTTTTGGTTGTTATTTTCCTCTGTTTTCCCAATTAACAAATTTTCTTTGATTTTATTGGTTTGTAAAGTTTGTAGATGTTCTGCGATATGACAAAAATATACAAAACTCCCCTTATGTTTCTTATCTTTTTGTACTTGTTGATCGAAGCACCACCATGAATTTTTCTATTATTTATTGTTTTACTATTCGTTGTTTTTTCTTTTAAACCTGTAGAAGGTTGTTTTTTGCGTTTCAAAGGGATTTGAATTAATAAATGGGTTTATGTATATTTACCATATAGAGAGTGGTATTAGGGAGGTTGTAACTGTCACGTATATATGTTTTAACTCCCACTTGTTTGGTGCTTCACTACAAATAAAGTGTCATCTCTAAATTTTACGAGGTTTGACGAGTCAAATGTGAATTTTTTATAATTAATTTGTTTTTATAACTAAATTGTCTAATTATTTTTGGCAGTGGAATCCAGAAACGGAATTGGAACCGTCGATTCCGATCCCGATTCCAGTTCAAAAATCTGAGAACTGATTCAATCGGTTTCAGTTCCAACATCTTAAGAACAGATGGTTTCCGGTTACAGTTCAAATTCCATCAAATTTAGTCAGGTAACGTATATGTTTACTCTTAAAAGGCTAGCAATCTAATCCTATAAAAAATAATTAAAAAATTAGGTTGCTTTAAAATTTTCATAATCGATCGTCTAGAATTTCAGCTTGTGTGCCCATCTTGAATTTTTTTCATTCATGTCACGTGTATATCTATAACTAGTTGTCTACTCCTTACTTTTTAATCAACTTTAATAAATTATTTTATTATTTAAAATTGAATAGCAAAATACATCAAAATCTACAACAGTGTTGTTTGTTTTTTAGAAAAAACATTTTCAGACCTTTTATTGTTATGCGGCGCAGCACACGTGCATCACTTTTTATTTTGCAGCTGTTTGTTTTTTCAGAAGTCTTCGAATTAAAAAAAAAATATGCGTGTGTTCTTCTTGGTGCAACACTTGTTTTACATCTTCCAACCTCTTCTTCTTCTTTTTTTGCTAAAATATTGATTATATATTACTGAAATCTTATTTCCCTTTTTTTTCATTTTTTTTTGTTTATTCTTGTTGAAAAAAAAATCTTTTTTTTTATATTGAATAATAATAATTTGTTGTTAAAATATCATTATTTTATGCTAAAATATCTTTATTTTTTGTTAAACTATAATTATTTTTTGCTGAAATATCATAAATTTTTGTCGAAATGTCATAAATTATTAAAAAATTTCGGTATTAAAAAACTATTTTCAGATTATAAAATCAATTTATTTTAATTTTTTAATATTTACAGCAGCATTCAGATGTTAAAAAAACAAACACACTTCTTATTACAGTCTGCAGTCGTTTGGTCCACCTCTTCTACTGTAGAGGATTGCAGAAGTGGTCGGCAGAATTTATGGATTTTTTCTTCAAAAACACAAACAGCACCTTAGAGATGGATCGATATAGATATTTTTTTTAAATATTCATAATAATAAAATAAAATATTAGTTTTCTAAAAAAATAAAATAAATTGTTCATATTTTTTTATAAATATAATATTAAAACTAATAAAAATTTATTATAACTAAAAACTATATTTAATTAAAAGATTATGTTAGTGAACAAAAGTTGAAATGTTTTGAATGTTTATGTGAATGAAAACTATCCTAGAAAAATTATTTTATTGGTCCTCCAGTTTATTAGATTTAGCAACTCTAACTATGGTAGAAAATTTTAATTTATACCACCACCATTTGCTACCACCAACTATACAACCACTGTAGCGTTCCAAAATTCAGAATAAATTTTTTCATATTTAAACACAAATCCATAAGCCCAAAAGTTAAACATTGTTTACAAATCATTTTAAGTCAAAACATCGAGTCAAAGTATCAATCAACATAAACTGCAGGATGATGTGTACAATCGCATCTCGTCTTTCCTTGTTCATCAGAAGTACCTGAAACATTTAAAATCATATTGTAAGTCAAAGCTTAGTGAGCTTCCCGAGATACCCCATAATATAAACAACTACAGATATAATACAAGCATGCATACAGGTTTTGTTGGTCCTTGACCTCAACCCAACCATACTAAATTTGTTGGTTTACAACACAAAGCAGTAACACCTCAACCCAACCATCCAACATTTGTTGGCACGCGGTCTCAACCCAACCATCCAGGTTTGTTGTCACATGGCCTCAACCTCACCATATCGGGTATGTTGACTTCCAGTCTCAACCCAACCGTACCTGGTTTATTGACATGTGGCCTCAACCCAACCACCTATATGTCGACATATACACAACAAATCACACATATAACTATCATTCGCATAATGAGAGAACTCACCTCTCGATCCGAACACAATCTTAAATAAGTCTCAACTCTGAGTACTGACTTTACCAGTCACCTATTATGCAAATTATTGCTCAACATTAATTAATAACAAATCACCCAAAATACCCTTAGGTCAACATTAGTCAAATTAAATAAATCAGTCGAGTCAACCCAGCCGAGTCAACTCAACCGAGTCAACCCAGCCGAGTCGACCCATCCTCGTATGTGGGGCGTACTTGGATATACACAGCGCGTACTCATTCGTTACCATAAAACACGGGCCTAACCGCATACGCACGATATAGCATCTATTATGCCCAACGTACGTAACTGAATGCTCTTAACCTATTAATTGCTTAATACATAAGCCTTTTTGTCCAAAATATAGATTTAAGTCCCAAATGTTGTTCTTGACCATAAAGTTTCCAACTTTAAGGTCTTTCATGGCCCTAATGTGCTTAACACTAAAAACCCCAACATCTTAAGCCATTAAGACAACCAAACCCACGCATAGGGAAGAACTAAGCGTCAAGAACACATTTTTATCACTTTGAGCCTAGAAAAACGTACAAAAGGACAATCCATTTGCTCTA